ATTGCCGATAATGTTATTTCACCGATTGCAAAGTAATACTTTTTTTGAATAATTCGTAAATGATGGAGATGTAAAATACTATGAAAAACATAAAACAATGTCAGCTGATGCGAAAAAAAAGGTCTACAGGAAAGTAAGGGTTTGAAAAGATGGAATGAAGTTCTTAATAATCATGAAATTACGATAGTATCTAGTGAAATTTTTACCAATAACTATGGCTAATCAATGGATTATCTGTTGTTGGATTGAAATTTTGCATTAAATTTTGTATATATGATAAATCAGGGCTAGAATTAGGCTTCAAATTTTAGGGTTAAATTAAGTAATATCGAAGTTATATTTCCATGCTGCCTAATTATTTGAACTGTTCGGCGCAATTTTCAGTCGTCCAGATGATGTGATAACGATGCTAAGTGGTAAAACAGTTGAAATAACGAATACCGATGCTGAGGGCCGTCTTATCCTGGCCGATGGTGTATTTTATGCAAAAAATGTTCTAAAGGTTTCTGTTTTTTTCATTAAATAATCTAATTTTCACGAAAATCTATCTTTAAATCATTGTGTTGGTAGGCGGAGTATGAGTTTTCGTTCAAATTTTTTATTCAGGCTTAGTTGAATATAATTGGAACGACTATTAAGTAATGGTCTCCTCCCCCACCCTCCCTCCCCTCCCCAACTATATAATTAGCAACTTTTTCGGTTGTTTTAACCTGCCAGTCTGCTGGTGATCTTGGCGTTTGTTCGTCTTTTTTTAAAGTAACCGAAGATTTTTGCAACAAAATTTTTAGCGGTTTGAGATGTCCTTAACTTTTTTTGCACTCTACAATTTTGCAGAAACGTGCTGTTGAAGTTTCAGGCTGATACGATTATTGATATGGCAACGTTAACCAGCGCGCAGGCTTACGCAACCGGTAAATTACACGCAGCAGTACTAACGAACAGCGAGGAGTGGGAGCAACGAGCATGTAGGGCAGGTCGAGCGAGCGGGGATCTTGTTCATCCGCTTCCTTTTTGTCCCGATTTGCATTTCGCTGATTTGAAAAGTCCTGTGGCAGATATGCGCAATTCGACATTCGGCAAAATGCAGGTGAGCGGGGAGAGTTTTCTAAAAAATCTGTAATTTTTTTTCTAAAAAAAATTTGTAAATTTTGTTCGCTAGCATAGCGCAGTCCATGTTACAAACCTTCAAGTTTTTCAAAGCTACTTACAGATTGATGACAAACAGGTAAATTACTAGGCAGTTGCTTGCTCCGGTCTTTCACACAGTAAAAAAGTGGAAAATTTAACATCCGTGAAATGTTCTCCAACAAACGAAAATGTCGCTATCTGAGCGCATTTAGTGGTTTTAGATATTCGCGTCTGTGAATCAGCGAAATGCAGTGTTTCAGGGAGCAGCAAGTTCAGTTGCTGGATTGTTTATTGCGTCACACATTGATTTTGCAAATGGCCTGAATTGGCTTCACTTCGACATTGCTTCTCCGGTGGGATGTTCGGATCGAGCTACCGGCTATGGGCCAGCACTGATGTGTGCTCTTCTCGCTCAGGATGTCGATGTGCCATTGTTGAAAGTCGTGCATTAAATTGTCCACTTTTGTAGCGCAGCCTTCTGTTTTCTGCTGTTTTTGTCCAAATTTTTTCTTAAAAATTTTCAAGAGATTTTTATCAAAATCCAGCTTTTCTCAAAATTCAGTTTCAAGAGACTTTTTCAAACTCAGTTTTCCGCCGTCTCAAAATTTTCAAAACTCTGAATTCAGCTTTTTAGCTTTTTTCCGAGAAATTAAGAGATATTTGAAACCCATTGAAATAGCTTATGAGATGTAAATTCGGTGAAAAAAATTTTAAGCTTTATTAATGCATTTCTAAACTTCTCTGTACTTTTTTCCGGCGATTTTTTGTGATGTTTCTTTCATTTTAGTTGAATTTGCTTATAATGTTTTCAGATTGCATAAAAGTTCTTGCACAATCTGTAGTTTGAAATTTTCACTAATTCATTTAATTAGAAAGAAGGGGGCTGTCGTGACTTTTCTCCACAAAGAAATGACAAAAGTTTTTGCACTGGATTAAAAAAGGGCAGTACGTTGCATGACATTTCTAGAGTTAATTAACAGATATTGCCCGTGTGCGTCATAGCCCAGTGCAATATCAAAACTGGACGTGAGTTTTGATCGGATATGCTAAGTCCGAAGTACTTTTGAGAGGTTTTTCTCTGCACTTTGCAAATTAGACTTAAAAATAGTCCTTTGTGCACTCAAGAATTCGTACTCCGTCCGTACTGTATCGTCTAAAAGAGGAATGAATGTAAAAATGCATTTAAAAAATTTGAAAATCTCTTCAACTTTTATATGCTCATGAATTCATACTTCGTCTCTAATATGTCATCTAAAAGAGGGAGAGATACAAAAATACGTTTAAAAAATTTAAAAATTTCCGCCGCTGCTCCAAATTTTCCTTTTACTTCGAAAATCTATTTATCTTCGGTTATATATCCATTTAATTGGTAGACATGATGACTAACACGATTTACATGCTAAAAGTTTCAGTTCTGGCAACTATTCATGGTTCGTTCATTCGTTTCGATGTCGAACTGGTACCGGTACAAACCAGAGGGCCGCTGTCGATTTGCTTCTAAGCAAATCCTCTTTTATCTGTTTGGTCCTAAAAGACCATCCAGGTAGATCCTTCCGCCGCACCGGCTGTCTCCTTTTATTTTTTTAACATTACGTAGGAAACATTGGACAGCTCTCTGTATTCAATTATCATTTTTTGCCTCTCTGAAATTGCAAGTTTCATTGCTCAAAATGAATCGGAAGCACAATACCTCAACAAAGTGTTCTGCAACTTGCTGACACTTATCATGCGTCGTTCCATAGCTCGTTGAGTGTGCGCTAACTTTTCTTCCTTGACAGTCGTGGTATTCCATATAGCATTAACAGTTAATACAGTGAAATTGAAAGTGTGGACAGCTTGTTAGAGCAAGAAAACTATGCATTTATTGGAATGGTTGCATCAAGCCTAAGACGAGGTTTCAGGCTAACTGAGCATTGATATCCATGAATTTCAGGTTACAAAAGTCAGTGAAGCTGTTCGTAACACGACCTTTTACGACATCCCACAATTATCAGGCAGCAGAGATAGAAAAATGACGCAAATAAAATGACGACCATTACTGTTAGAAACCACGAAAATTCATTCCAATGCACTGCAAAAACACCATGTATTCAAAGGAACCTGGATCCAGAAAAAGGAACTGTGTTGATGTTATTTGGGGAAGCAACTACACTGCGCGTTTTAGGTATGCAAACGTGGGCAATGCAGTCCTTTGCCAATGTTTTTAAATTTTTCTTATTTTGTGCATATAGGAAAATCAAGTGAACGAAAAAGTATGGTGGTAAGAAAATCTATCAATTTAATAAGAAGGCCTTCGTGCGTCATCTGCCTGCAAACTTCTGAACTATGAAAACTTTGAATTTTCGGATTTGCTCGTTAGCTATATGAGGCTAAAGGCACGAGAAAACAAAGACCAGAATTAAGTACTGATGTTCTTCTAGGTATCAGATTTATGACCTCGAGTACAAATTCGTAAAAAAATGGTGTGACTTGCGGACGTGCAGATTACAGATTCATATTCGTAGTAGGATCTTGCTCCAGGATACAGATTCTGAGAATTAGTCACTTCGTATTCTCTACAGTCGTAGTTCCGAGAACGGACTAATTTTGGCTTGCAGAAGCTAAATTTCAGAGAATTAACCGGATGGTAAGAGAAGCTTCGTGACTCTCAGATTTTTGAGATTTCCGCTCTGTCCATGTGGAACTTCCGGTTAAGATGCGGTTGTGTACCGACTACAAACGCGCCTGGCAGATTCGTTTTCGGGCTCTATTTTGCACTGTTAGTCCTTCGATCACACTATGTTTACTGATTAGCAAATGGATTATTTAACAATGTAAACATAGTCGTGAATCCATGTGTCGAAAGAATCTAGCGTCACTCTATTCTGGCTTCTGGACGTAACCTACGTCAACGTCAGCGTCAAATTCTCACACCAACTGTTCAGCCGATAATACTTGTAATCAGGAAAGCTCTTCAATTAATTGTTTTTTTTATCTTTAAAATCCAAGGCGGATAATTTAGTTGGCATACAACTTCAATCCATTCTATCTACTCATTTTGAACCTTCCTAATCCATTTTATCTATTCATTTTCCCTCTTTTTTTCTTTGAACTTATCGCTCACTATCTTCTAAATCTAACATCTCATCGCTTCTCCCTTTCTCTGCCGCTCAAATCTTTTCGTTAATGTGGTTTTGAAAATTCAGTCAGGTGATATATTATACATGGAGACTGTGTTGATGATTTCCGCACCTATTCACGCTTAAAGCTTTGTCTGTATTTATCGTTAGGGAATGAAGCATAGGCTGCTCCTGCGATTTGTTCATCGATTCATTCAGTATTTTGATTTTAATATTGTATAAAAATGACTGTACCTGGTTTCAGTGAGTTGTGCAGTGGATAAATGACTGACGGGATCTGCTTGTAATCCTTATCACTGCCATTGCTGTCAATGCTGTTGGTGTTCAGCACTAAATATTGTGTGTACATGTAGCATGAACAATAAAAATACAGATAGAAGCGATATCAGTCCTGATAATAATGACACATCTGAGCATCCAGTGCAGCTGTTGTTGGCGTTGCTGTTGCTACCGTTGCTTCTTCCTTAAAACGGCCAAAGAAAAATAAAACGAAGCAGCATAAAGATGTTGGGATATACTTGCAAATCGAAATATCGGTTAGTAAAAGTGCAATTTCGGCAGATTGATTGCTTTT